TGTTATTCACATTTTGATGTTTTTAAAGATGTTTCAGAACAAGAGATTAAACGTATTATTCTAAAATCTAAGCCTACGTCATGTTCTCTGGACCCCATCCCCATTCCCTATTGGTTGAGCCATTGGATCATTTGTTCCCAACGATAACCCACTTAGTCAATGAAAGCGTGTCTTCTGACACTGTTTCCTCTCTTTGTAAGTCAACTGTCATCAAACCATTGCTTAAGAAGCCTGGTATAGATTAAAGTATATTTTTTAAAAATATAGTCCTGTAGCTTATAATTTTTATCTAAACTTATTGAAAAATTAGTTCTAAAACAATTTTTTGCTTACTTAAACGACCAATCTCTTCTCAGTCCTAATCAGTCTCCCGATAGAATTTTCCACAGCACAGAGACATCTCTCTTGAGAGTCAGTAATGACCTCTTGAGTTTCAGTAATGACCTCTTGAGGTTCAGTAATGACCTCTTGAGGTTCAGTAATGACCTCTCGAGGTTCAGTAATGACCTCTTAAGGTTCAGTAATGACCTCTTGAGGTTCAGTAATGACCTCTCGAGGTTCAGTAATGACCTCTCGAGGTTCAGTAATGACCTCTTGAGGTTCAGTAATGACCTCCTGCACGCAGTGGACGACGGTAATATCTCCATCCTCATCCTCTTAGATCTCAGTGCGGTCTTTGACACTGTTGACCATGAAACCCTTTACTCCCTACTTCTCCGAAAGAACGCAGGCGGTCGCCGTCGATGGTTTTCTCTCCGGCAGTGTTGATTTGGTTTATGGAGTGCCACAGGGGTCCGTTTTGGGCCCAGTTCTATTCACATTGTATACCAGACCACTGCTCCTCTCGCTCAGGAGGCATGCTGTTGAGAACCAGTCATTTGCAGATGACAAGCAGCTATACAAGCTCACATAGCCCTCTCTTGTCGATTCCGCTGTCCAGACTTTGCGGGGGTGCATTGATGTCAAGTCATGGATGACACTCAGTAAGTTGAAGCTTAATGATGACAAAACGGAAGCACTCCTCATCCACAATCACACATCATCATTGCCTCAGCTCTCCCAACCTGATTTCAAGTAACTAACACTGACATACAGCTTACATCTTCTGCTAGGTATCTTGGTTATATTCTTTTAACAAAATGTCTCTTGATAAACATATCTCTCACATTTGTCGCCCTGCATACACCGCTATCCGTCAGATCAGCTCCATCCACCACTACCTTACAGTTAGCGCAACAAAACACTAGTCTGTGCTCTTGTTCCCTCTATTGCAACTTCCTGCTGTCAGGTTCAACAAAACACTTAATAGATAAGCAATAAAAGGTTTAAAAAATGTGATGACGTGACTCCACAACTCCAATCACTTCATTGGCTCCCTTTACAAGCATGGATTGACCAGAAACTCTCCGTTCTCTGCAACAACGTTTTCTCGCATTCCTGCCCTTCTTTTTGTCTATTCACCCCTTCGACATCTTCGCCCTGCGCAGACGCGCGTATTCTTTCTGTTTCCAAGACACGCACTAAAACATACAGTAAACAAGATTTCTCTTTCCGCGCCGCCAAACAACGGAGTTCTCTTCCACTTAACATCCGCAAAATACCGTCACTCCAGGCCTTCAAAACTGCACTCAAAACACATCTCTTTAAACTCTACCATCTCGACTGATTCCCTGCCTTTAAACAATAAACTATGTTGCAAATAGCTTGACATAAAAATATTTCCTGGAATGGGTGGGGTGAATATACATTTGTATTTTTTTTTTTTTTTTACAGCTGTTAATTTTTAACATTAAATAAATGTATGTTATTTTTAATTTTTTGATTATTTTTGCTAATATTTTTATTTGGAGCGTAGGGTGGGGTACCGCGCATTACAGAAAACCACTGTAATAGATATGATATATATAAAACTATGTTGCAAATAGCTTGACATAAAAATATTTCCTGGAATGGGTGGGGTGAATATACATTTGTATTTTTTTTTTTTTTACAGCTGTTAATTTTTAACATTAAATAAATGTATGTTATTTTTAATGTTATGATTATGTTTGCTAATATTTTTATGTGGAGCGTAGGCTGGGGTACCGCGCATTACAGAAAACCACTGTAATATATATGATATATATGTGGCATCCTTCCGTCTACTTAAGACGATGGAGTAGCTATATAGTTCTACACTTTGACGAGTGGCTCACTAGGCCAATCCTAGAATGGCAATCACGGCCGCATCTCTCGCAGGAGAATATTGAATCCCGGTAACTTCTTGATTTCCGAATTGTTCTTTTTGATTCAAGGGCCTCGTTTCGAGTATCTTCTCCCTTTTTTACTCATTCAAACAATGCTGTTCGCCAGTTGGAATGATGTTCGGCAATGAACTCTCATTCGTTTGTTTCAATATTGGCTACCCTCATGCATCGTTTGCAAACGTCAATAAATCTCAGGCGTGGTCGTTCAATATGTCTTGTCCCCTCTGCCAACTCTCCATACAGCAATATCTTTGGGATACGTCCTTCCTCCATTCTCCGTACATGACCTAACCAGCGAAGGCGTCTCTTGATAAGAAAGGAGAATATGCTTAACATGCGTGCACGTTCCAAGACCACCACGTTAGGCACCCTGTCCAGCCAACGAATGCGCAAAATGCGACGCAGACATCTTTGATGGAAGCTGTTGAGTTTCCGCTCCTGACTGGTAAATGTGGTCCACACTTCGCTACCATATAGGAGCGTGCTAAGCACGCATGCCTGATTACCACTTATTTTTGTTTTATCAGTTAGATTGAGATTATTCCACACCCGCTTATTCAGTTTAGACATAGTTGCTGCTGCTTTTGCAATCCTGATATTTATCTCTTCATCAACGGAGAGAGATCTAGAATTATTGGATCCCAGGTATATGAAATGATCAACAACCGAAAGATTATGACCTTCAATAGATATGATTGGAGGGGACGGTGCTTCTTGCATCATTACATGAGTTTTTTGTAGACTAATCGAAAATCCAAACTCTTTACAAGCGTGTGATAGACGATTAACCAGCCCCAGCAGACCTTCTTCTGTGTGAGATGTTCAAGCGGCACTGTAATAATACTAATAATAAGTCAGGGAAATTTCCTAAGAATAACTCAAAGTGCTAAAGCCCTCTGGGAATAAAGCAATAATCAGTAATCCCCGGACATTTCCTAAATGTTTTATGCAAATCCTGATCCATCCGTTCATGTCTGGAAGCAATGACCTGACTCCAACTCGACCGCTATTGTTCAGCCGCTCTGATTCAAACAATGCGTTGATCCTTTCATTTCTTTCAGCAATCCTGGCATTCAATGTAACATTTCAGTTAGTTATTTCATTTCTTTCAGCAATCCTGGCATTCAATGTAACATTTCAGTTAGTTATTTCATTTCTTTCAGCAATCCTGGCATTCAATGTAACATTTCAGTTAGTTATTTCACTTCTTTCAGCAATCCTGGCATTCAATGTAACATTTCCGTTAGTTATTTCATTTATTTCCGCAATGCTAGCATTCGATGTCTCAAAGATGCCTCATCGTCTCAAAGATGAAAATTCACATACAACCTAAGAGACGACATCAGGCCACCAAAGCTCCGAAACGCCTCAACATCAGTAAGATGAAGATCCCTGAAGTGAGACAAACCTTCATTGACATCCTAGATGAACGACTTAATACCATCACCCTGGACAACCTCGACGCGGAAAAAGCGTGAACCACACTTCGTGAGACGGTGTATAACACAGCCGCTGAGCACCTCCGACCCTCTAACAAGAAACACAATGATTGGTTTAATGAAAACAACTCAGCGATCCAAATGCTACTTGAGCAAAAATGTCGAGTGCACAAGGCCCTCCATGATGACCCAATGTCAACAGCAAAGCCAGCAGCACTAAAGAGCATCCGCAGCAAGGTCCAGTTGCAACTTCTCCATATGCAAGACACCTGGCTGAGTGCGTAAGCTGACGAAATTCAGAGCTTAGCAGACAAGAAAGCCATAAAAACTTCTATAGTGGTCTTAGAGAAATCTATGGCGTTACCACCTCAAGCTCTTCCCCTCTCCTTAGTGCAGACGGTTCTACACTTATCACAGACAAGGAAAGAATCTTTAAAAGATGGGCGGAACACTTTGATAATGTGGTGAATACGCCTTCCGTTATTAATGATAAGGCCAAACAACACCATCAATGAGCTTCTGTTTGCGGACGATTGTGCCCTCAAAGCAGCGTTGATGTCTTATATGAGGCCTGCAACCACTTTGGCATCACAATCAACATAAAGAAGACTGAGGTGATGTATACGCCAACTCCCAGTTAACACTACGCTGAACACGACATCATCATCAGCGGACAGCGTCTAAACGTGGCAGCACCATCTCCGGATCTTCATCATTGAATGACGAAATGAATGCCAGTTTATCAAAAGCTAGTGAAATATTTGGCAGACTCCACAACACTGTTTGGGACAGGAGAGGTATCAGACGAGAAACGAAGATCATGATCTATAGCGTAGCAGTCCACTCGACTTTGCTCTACGGATGTGAAACGTGGAGAGTCTACCAGCGTGTCACCAAGAGACTGAACCACTGTCACACAACCTGCCTCAGGAAACTCCTCGGCATCAGGTGGCAAGAAAAAGTGCCTGAAACGGACGTCCTCGCTAGAGCGAACCTACCTTGCATCGTCACAACCATGATTAAGCATCAACTACGTTGGGTGGAACACGTAGCCCGTATGGAAGACAACCGGCTTCCTTAACAAATATTCTTCGGATAACTCACGATAGGCAAGCGCTTTCAATGAGTTAAAAAAGGCGTTACAAAGACTTACTGAAACCTGAAGACTAGATGGTCCTAATCAATGTTGACGGACAAACAACTACTCACTTATCCCCCAAGAAGATCATTGTACTCACCTTCCACAGATATCCCCACTTTTATAATCATACTACTCACCTATCGACATATATCACCACCATGACAATCCCTGTACTCACCTATCCAGCGATATCACCACCATGAGAAAAGCTGACAGTGGAACGTTGAAGGTAATCATAAACGTGTACAATTTACAAGCGAGGTCGTAGTTTAATTTGTGCTGCAGGTACTCTGTCACCGCCGTGTACGGCATGGTCACCAAACACGCCAACAGGTCTGTGCAGGACAGCGCCAAGATAAAGATGGTGGCCGAATCCTTCTTGGCCTTGTGTGTGTACACGTACGCGACAAGGCCATTACCAATCGCACCACATAAGGAAAACGTAGTCAGCATCGCCAATAAAACTATTTGCTGCTCCGCGAGGGCCATTTGAAACTACCGTCTGGCTAGTAAGGTTCTGTATTTTTAGTAGGAATTGGAACATAACAGATAATGAACATGCATTTAATAAAAAGTTTATATTACTTAAAACTATAACAGGTCATGAGTAACTTTTTTTCTGCAAATAGAGTAACCAATAAATATTATCACTGCGCATGGCCTTACAAGCTCGCTCTTTCCACCATTTTGAAACTTGACTAGCCCTTGCGGCCCTAGTGTGTTTTCTATCTTGCCAAAATTAATATGAACAATGTATGATAACATGCATACTCTCGGAACAAATTCTATACTCGGTTCAATCACATGATAAATGTATAATGTTTTGTTCCTAATGGGAAAACAATTCTTGATCTTTGTTCAACAAAACAACGTGCTTGACTTCTCGCCCTTGAATTTCCATGACAGTCGAATTTTCCCCATCTGAGAAGACAAGACATAGCCAATAACGATTCCTAAACAAACATATGCACCCGTGCGTTATTTTTTTTTTGTACAAATTATTTATTAAAAATACTGCTTTCTGATTTTGGCATCGGTCCGTGGTACACACATAAACGTATGCGTCGGTTACCATATAACTAGAAGTAAGTTGTCTTTAAAAAAGAGAATGATATGTTAATATTCATATTTGATTAGAAGAATTTGGATGACGTCCTCGGGACCACTTTTGCATGCGGTTTTTAGTCGAGCCCCAAACAAAACAAAAACAAAAAAAAACAAAAAAAAAAAAAAAAAAAAAAAAAAAAAAAAAAAAAAAACAAGAAAAAAACACAGATTAAAAAAAATTGAAATAATTTCCTCTTAATGCAAAAGTTCTAATAGCATGTTTCATCTATTATTTTATCAAATGAGAGAATCTTGATATTCGCACAATATATTTTTTTGCCACAAGTTCACGAACATTTGCTGTGTGTCCACTACTATTTAACAATATTAACTAATCCCCATTGCTGTAACTTCACGAATTTGTTAAGCCACAAAGTTTTTAATTCAAAAAGTTGAAGTTAACAACGGAACTAATTGTTTACTAACTAGACTTATACTTTTATAAAAAAAATGTTGCATTTACTTAAACAACAAACAATAATATTTCACAAAGTTGCTAATTCCTAAAATTTTATTCCACTGAGTTCTTTTTGAACACGAATGCTTCTCACGACAGTTACGGTAGTAACTAAATTTTTGATAAACGATAATAAATTACGGTTACCTTGGAAACCAATCGGATCTGGTTCAAGGGGAGCGTTCAATATTTCAATTATGTCCCCTGTTTGCGGATGTTGTGAAGGGCCGGAAGCAAATACGTGTGTTCATGATTGGACTCATTCGATATGTGATACATTAATAATAGATTACTTGAGATTGACATGGCAATGGCACAAAGCAAGCAGGTGGTGTTACGCTAATGAATCACATGGGCCTTTCTAATGCAATGTCTGGTGTTAGGCAACTGAATCCTAATGACCTTTCTAATGCAATGTCTGGTGTTAGGCCACTGAATCCTAATGACCTTTCTAATGCAATGTCTGGTGTTAGGCCACTGAATCCTAATGACCTTTCTAATGCAATGCCTGGTGTTAGGCCACTGAATCCTAATGACCTTTCTAATGCAATGCCTGGTGTTAGGCCACTGAATCCTAATGACCTTTCTAATGCAGTGCCTGGTGTTAGGCCAACGAATCATAAGGATCTTTCTAACGCAGTGCATGGTATCGATAGAAGCTAGTTTATAAGATCCCAGTCATAAAACTCTTCTTTTCAATTATTTATGATACTGGAACCAACCCGTGTAAACAATGGCGGCTATGCAGGAATGCCCCCCATCTTCTACGGTTACTCTGAGAAAACATGCATTCAAGTAAACGCACTTTATACGTATCCCAATTGGTGCTAAATTGTGGGAATTTTACTTTGGGAGCCTATCGAACACAGCGTGTAGCCATAGGTACACACATATAGCTTTTTTTAAAATTAGTAATCGACTCGGTAGTGTAACGCCACAAGTACCTTAAATGTTGAAGATATTATTTTACTAACAGAAATATTCCTATATTACTTGAATTAATTTGAAATAAAGACTTCATTAAATCGGATGTCCGAGTATAGGTTTAAGGGGATTAACTTTTCTTTACAATACTAGCAATCCTTTATTATATGTCAGATTTTCAATGTGTTTTCCCCCATGATCTTTATCAGTTCAGTAACGCCTTTGCTTTGTGTGTTTTCGAGATGTTTTCTTGTTTGCGTAATTAACCTTTAAAAATGTAAATGTACATATTTACATAATACAATGAGAGTTTATTGAGATATCCTGGAAATTAAAAATTGACAGAGGGAACAGAAGATCATGTGTCCGGAAAGGTGTGGGTTTGTGTTTTGTGTATGTAATGTGTGTTTTTGTGTGTATGTGTATGTGTGTATCTGTGTGTTTGTATAAAGATCTGGTTGTGCAAAGTGTAAACAAAAAAGTCACATTTTATATGTTTTTATAAAACTTATATTGCAGTGTATAGGTAATTATAGATCTAAGTCCATATAATATAATTTTTTATAAATCTTATATATAAGTACCTCTAAGTCCTTTATAATGTATGTTTTTTTTTTATAAATACTATATATCAGTGTCATTGTAATTATATCTCTAAGTCCATATAATGTATGTTTTTTAAAAATAAATCTTATATATATCAGTTTCTATGTAATTATACTTCTAAATCCATATGTTTGTTTATTGACTGAAAAACAGTTAACTAGATATTAGTGGCGGCTTATTGGGATCAAGGTTCAATTCTCGCTGGTTGATTGAATAATGTTTGTTTGTTATTTTTATAACGTATACACGTTATAATTCACAAATTTAATTAGAGGTGTTTATACTCAGTCATGCATGAAGCCACCAAATACTCATGTAAAGATGGAATAACAATAAATGTATAGATGTAATTGGATGCTGCTGTTACTGTTACAAACTTTGAATGTATATTGTGATGGCGTGTTGTTTAGAGATTATGTGTGTTATTGTATCTAATATGTGTTGTATCTTGTGACGTATTAAGGGGGTTATGATGTATTAGTGTGTTGTGGACTATGGTCTTTGAGTACAGTAATGGCAGTTGAAGAATTATTTCGTTAATAAAGATATTTAATAGGGGCATAATGGTTTGTGAAGTGTGTATAATTAAACCCCTAGACAACGAGGCCAACGAACCTTTTAAGTAAGACCAGGTCGTAACAGTTACCACATAACATTAATGGCGTATTTTTGTTTATTTAGTTACGTTAAGTTCATACAATTTTTGCATGTTTTGAAATAAATATTTATACTAATTTTAGTTTATTGGGTCCTTTTCTGCAGAATAATAAATACATATTTTTTTAATGTGTTACTTTTAGACTCCTCTAACAGTTGGAATTTATTATTTTATTTATTTGTTTCATGTGACTTTTTTTTCTTTCTGTGATTTTTTATGCGATAACCCTTTCTTGGGGGGGGGGGTCTTGTTGGAGTTTCAATGTTGTGAGGGAGAGTATGAGTATGTTTTTGTGTGTGGGGGTTGATTGTATTTGTTGGGGTTGAGTATAAATGTTTGGGTGGTAGATATTTGAGTGTGTTTATTGTTGTTTTTATGCATTTGAATTTGACTATGTGAATGCGTGTGTATTAACTATATGAGTGCGTGTTACTATTTGCACGAGTTTATTCTTCCACTAGTCAAGTTCTATTTTCTTCAAACAACATTAGTTAGGATTGCTTTTTTATTAAGGGGCCATCCATTAAGTACGTCATGCATTTTTTGACATATTTAGCTACCTCCCTTGCCCCCTGCCACAGTCTGACCCAAGTCACAAATCTCAGACGCCCCTCCCTTGCCCCCTGCCACAGTCTGTCCCAAATCTCAGACCCCCCTCCCTTGCCCCCTGCCACAGTCTGTCCCAAATCTTAGACCCCCTCCCGTGCCCCCTGCCACAGTCTGTCCCAAATCTTAGACCCCCTCCCTTGCCCCCTGCCACAGTCTGTCCCAAATCTCAGACCCCCCTCCCTTGCCCCCTGCCACAGTCTGTCACAAATCTCAGAAACCCTCCCCTCCCCCAAGTCCTTCACACTTTCAAACTAAAAAATTGCTACAAATTTAAAACTAATTTCAGTTGAATTTAAAACACACTTCATTATTAACATACAAAATATTTATAAAAGTGACATCATCTGTCACAATACATCTGTCAGAACAGAAAGGTCAACATCACTGGAAATTCCAGGTTTTTTTATGAATGATATAATTTTTTTGTTTAAATGTGTGACGTCACACAAGATCTTTACCCCCGCCTCCTAGTCACAAACCCTCACGCTTTCTTTGACCCCCACCCCCTCACCCCAACCACCCTTTCCGGAGCGTGACGTACGATACGGATGGCCCCTTAGAGTCCACTTATGTCTGATTGTTTTAATACCTGCAGGAAAAGTTTGAGGATAAAAGTGAAACATTAATGATGTGTTCGTGTTTTGTGGCGGCGTGCTTGGTGCTGAGAGTAGTCAGTAATGACACTGTAGTAATGGAGTTGTAGAGTAAGAACATGATGAAAGAATTGATTTAATGAGAACTTTCATGGCGATTATGTCCATGCTAGTTTAGCATGCTCACAGCGCTCTGGGGTCCTAAAATCTATTTAGAGAAAAACACATTTAAATGGTTCTTAAATGACTTTCTTATCGTTGTCATTGTCCCTCAAGTTTTCATTGTCCCTCAAGTTTTCATTGTCCCTCAAGTTTTCATTGTCCCTCAAGTTTTCATTGTCCCTCAAGTTTTCATTGTCCCTCAAGTTTTCATTGTCCCTCAAGTTTTCATTGTCCCTCAAAGATTGAGGCCAACTGTTTAACAATTTAGGCGCAATAGCTTCAAAAGAGCGCACTCATTATGAATTCTTTTTGTGTCCATCCACCCTGGGAACTCTCA